ACTAACTAGCCATGCAAAAAAAAATGGCATACAGCTTGGTGGAAAAGTGCGACAAAGGTAGGAAGAGCATGTGCTTTTATGGGAAAATGCTCACGAAACTCGTACTTGGGGCAAAAGTTGAAACGCCGTCGCTCCCAAACCATTTGGATCTTGGACCCGAGGTTCAAGCTGCATGCTCTAGAGACCATGCACTAACTAGCCATGCAAAAAAAAATGGCATACAGCTTGGTGGAAAAGTGCGACAAAGGTAGGAAGAGCATGTGCTTTTATGGGAAAATGCTCACGAAACTCGTACTTGGGGCAAAAGTTGAAACGCCGTCGCTCCCAAACCATTTGGATCTTGGACCCGAGGTTCAAGCTGCATGCTCTAGAGACCATGCACTAACTAGCCATGCAAAAAAAAATGGCATACAGCTTGGTGGAAAAGTGCGACAAAGGTAGGAAGAGCATGTGCTTTTATGGGAAAATGCTCACGAAACTCGTACTTGGGGCAAAAGTTGAAACGCCGTCGCTCCCAAACCATTTGGATCTTGGACCCGAGGTTCAAGCTGCATGCTCTAGAGACCATGCACTAACTAGCCATGCAAAAAAAAATGGCATACAGCTTGGTGGAAAAGTGCGACAAAGGTAGGAAGAGCATGTGCTTTTATGGGAAAATGCTCACGAAACTCGTACTTGGGGCAAAAGTTGAAACGCCGTCGCTCCCAAACCATTTGGATCTTGGACCCGAGGTTCAAGCTGCATGCTCTAGAGACCATGCACTAACTAGCCATGCAAAAAAAAATGGCATACAGCTTGGTGGAAAAGTGCGACAAAGGTAGGAAGAGCATGTGCTTTTATGGGAAAATGCTCACGAAACTCGTACTTGGGGCAAAAGTTGAAACGCCGTCGCTCCCAAACCATTTGGATCTTGGACCCGAGGTTCAAGCTGCATGCTCTAGAGACCATGCACTAACTAGCCATGCAAAAAAAATGGCATACAGCTTGGTGGAAAAGTGCGACAAAGGTAGGAAGAGCATGTGCTTTTATGGGAAAATGCTCACGAAACTCGTACTTGGGGCAAAAGTTGAAACGCCGTCGCTCCCAAACCATTTGGATCTTGGACCCGAGGTTCAAGCTGCATGCTCTAGAGACCATGCACTAATTAGCCATGCAAAAAAAAATGGCATACAGCTTGGTGGAAAAGTGCGACAAAGGTAGGAAGAGCATGTGCTTTTATGGGAAAATGCTCACGAAACTCGTACTTGGGGCAAAAGTTGAAACGCCGTCGCTCCCAAACCATTTGGATCTTGGACCCGAGGTTCAAGCTGCATGCTCTAGAGACCATGCACTAATTAGCCATGCAAAAAAAAATGGCATACAGCTTGGTGGAAAAGTGCGACAAAGGTAGGAAGAGCATGTGCTTTTATGGGAAAATGCTCACGAAACTCGTACTTGGGGCAAAAGTTGAAACGCCGTCGCTCCCAAACCATTTGGATCTTGGACCCGAGGTTCAAGCTGCATGCTCTAGAGACCATGCACTAACTAGCCATGCAAAAAAAAATGGCATACAGCTTGGTGGAAAAGTGCGACAAAGGTAGGAAGAGCATGTGCTTTTATGGGAAAATGCTCACGAAACTCGTACTTGGGGCAAAAGTTGAAACGCCGTCGCTCCCAAACCATTTGGATCTTGGACCCGAGGTTCAAGCTGCATGCTCTACAGACCATGCACTAACTAGCCATGCAAAAACAAATGGCATACAGCTTGGTGGAAAAGTGCGACAAAGGTAGGAAGAGCATGTGCTTTTATGGGAAAATGCTCACGAAACTCGTACTTGGGGCAAAAGTTGAAACGCCGTCGCTCCCAAACCATTTGGATCTTGGACCCGAGGTTCAAGCTGCATGCTCTAGAGACCATGCACTAATTAGCCATGCAAAAAAAAAATGGCATACAGCTTGGTGGAAAAGTGCGACAAAGGTAGGAAGAGCATGTGCTTTTATGGGAAAATGCTCACGAAACTCGTACTTGGGGCAAAAGTTGAAACGCCGTCGCTCCCAAACCATTTGGATCTTGGACCCGAGGTTCAAGCTGCATGCTCTAGAGACCATGCACTAACTAGCCATGCAAAAAAAATGGCATACAGCTTGGTGGAAAAGTGCGACAAAGGTAGGAAGAGCATGTGCTTTTATGGGAAAATGCTCACGAAACTCGTACTTGGGGCAAAAGTTGAAACGCCGTCGCTCCCAAACCATTTGGATCTTGGACCCGAGGTTCAAGCTGCATGCTCTAGAGACCATGCACTAACTAGCCATGCAAAAAAAAATGGCATACAGCTTGGTGGAAAAGTGCGACAAAGGTAGGAAGAGCATGTGCTTTTATGGGAAAATGCTCACGAAACTCGTACTTGGGGCAAAAGTTGAAACGCCGTCGCTCCCAAACCATTTGGATCTTGGACCCGAGGTTCAAGCTGCATGCTCTACAGACCATGCACTAACTAGCCATGCAAAAAAAAATGGCATACAGCTTGGTGGAAAAGTGCGACAAAGGTAGGAAGAGCATGTGCTTTTATGGGAAAATGCTCACGAAACTCGTACTTGGGGCAAAAGTTGAAACGCCGTCGCTCCCAAACCATTTGGATCTTGGACCCGAGGTTCAAGCTGCATGCTCTAGAGACCATGCACTAATTAGCCATGCAAAAAAAAAATGGCATACAGCTTGGTGGAAAAGTGCGACAAAGGTAGGAAGAGCATGTGCTTTTATGGGAAAATGCTTACAAAACTCGTACTTGGGGCAAAAGTTGAAACGCCGTCGCTCCCAAACCATTTGGATCTTGGACCCGAGGTTCAAGCTGCATGCTCTACAGACCATGCACTAACTAGCCATGCAAAAACAAATGGCATACAGCTTGGTGGAAAAGTGCGACAAAGGTAGGAAGAGCATGTGCTTTTATGGGAAAATGCTCACGAAACTCGTACTTGGGGCAAAAGTTGAAACGCCGTCGCTCCCAAACCATTTGGATCTTGGACCCGAGGTTCAAGCTGCATGCTCTAGAGACCATGCACTAACTAGCCATGCAAAAAAAAATGGCATACAGCTTGGTGGAAAAGTGCGACAAAGGTAGGAAGAGCATGTGCTTTTATGGGAAAATGCTCACGAAACTCGTACTTGGGGCAAAAGTTGAAACGCCGTCGCTCCCAAACCATTTGGATCTTGGACCCGAGGTTCAAGCTGCATGCTCTACAGACCATGCACTAACTAGCCATGCAAAAACAAATGGCATACAGCTTGGTGGAAAAGTGCGACAAAGGTAGGAAGAGCATGTGCTTTTATGGGAAAATGCTCACGAAACTCGTACTTGGGGCAAAAGTTGAAACGCCGTCGCTCCCAAACCATTTGGATCTTGGACCCGAGGTTCAAGCTGCATGCTCTAGAGACCATGCACTAACTAGCCATGCAAAAAAAAATGGCATACAGCTTGGTGGAAAAGTGCGACAAAGGTAGGAAGAGCATGTGCTTTTATGGGAAAATGCTCACGAAACTCGTACTTGGGGCAAAAGTTGAAACGCCGTCGCTCCCAAACCATTTGGATCTTGGACCCGAGGTTCAAGCTGCATGCTCTACAGACCATGCACTAACTAGCCATGCAAAAACAAATGGCATACAGCTTGGTGGAAAAGTGCGACAAAGGTAGGAAGAGCATGTGCTTTTATGGGAAAATGCTCACGAAACTCGTACTTGGGGCAAAAGTTGAAACGCCGTCGCTCCCAAACCATTTGGATCTTGGACCCGAGGTTCAAGCTGCATGCTCTAGAGACCATGCACTAATTAGCCATGCAAAAAAAAATGGCATACAGCTTGGTGGAAAAGTGCGACAAAGGTAGGAAGAGCATGTGCTTTTATGGGAAAATGCTTACGAAACTCGTACTTGGGGCAAAAGTTGAAACGCCGTCGCTCCCAAACCATTTGGATCTTGGACCCGAGGTTCAAGCTGCATGCTCTACAGACCATGCACTAACTAGCCATGCAAAAACAAATGGCATACAGCTTGGTGGAAAAGTGCGACAAAGGTAGGAAGAGCATGTGCTTTTATGGGAAAATGCTCACGAAACTCGTACTTGGGGCAAAAGTTGAAACGCCGTCGCTCCCAAACCATTTGGATCTTGGACCCGAGGTTCAAGCTGCATGCTCTAGAGACCATGCACTAATTAGCCATGCAAAAAAAAATGGCATACAGCTTGGTGGAAAAGTGCGACAAAGTAGGAAGAGCATGTGCTTTTATGGGAAAATGCTTACGAAACTCGTACTTGGGGCAAAAGTTGAAACGCCGTCGCTCCCAAACCATTTGGATCTTGGACCCGAGGTTCAAGCTGCATGCTCTACAGACCATGCACTAACTAGCCATGCAAAAACAAATGGCATACAGCTTGGTGGAAAAGTGCGACAAAGGTAGGAAGAGCATGTGCTTTTATGGGAAAATGCTCACGAAACTCGTACTTGGGGCAAAAGTTGAAACGCCGTCGCTCCCAAACCATTTGGATCTTGGACCCGAGGTTCAAGCTGCATGCTCTACAGACCATGCACTAACTAGCCATGCAAAAACAAATGGCATACAGCTTGGTGGAAAAGTGCGACAAAGGTAGGAAGAGCATGTGCTTTTATGGGAAAATGCTCACGAAACTCGTACTTGGGGCAAAAGTTGAAACGCCGTCGCTCCCAAACCATTTGGATCTTGGACCCGAGGTTCAAGCTGCATGCTCTAGAGACCATGCACTAATTAGCCATGCAAAAAAAAATGGCATACAGCTTGGTGGAAAAGTGCGACAAAGGTAGGAAGAGCATGTGCTTTTATGGGAAAATGCTCACGAAACTCGTACTTGGGGCAAAAGTTGAAACGCCGTCGCTCCCAAACCATTTGGATCTTGGACCCGAGGTTCAAGCTGCATGCTCTACAGACCATGCACTAACTAGCCATGCAAAAACAAATGGCATACAGCTTGGTGGAAAAGTGCGACAAAGGTAGGAAGAGCATGTGCTTTTATGGGAAAATGCTCACGAAACTCGTACTTGGGGCAAAAGTTGAAACGCCGTCGCTCCCAAACCATTTGGATCCTGGACCCGAGGTTCAAGCTGCATGCTCTACAGACCATGCACTAACTAGCCATGCAAAAACAAATGGCATACAGTGTTAGGATTAAGGACGGAGTCTAGGTGAACTTAGGAGCTAGAATTACTCAAAATATAAATCCGAAATTCTGGACAGAAAAGTCGTCTTCACAAGAAACGACGTCGACAAAACACTAGCCGTTGGAATGTCGCGAAACTTGGATATGTTGTAGCTCTTGATCTCAGCTACCGTTCCCAATTTGAATCACGTTGATTGATGAAGTATTCGCGACGCTATGGCTTTCGACGCACTAGGGGGTAAGCTGTAGGAGGAGAACTTAACTCAATCTCAAGAGTTCAATCAAAGTTCAAGAATCTCACAAGGAATTAGAAGGAGCAAGAGAAAGGTTGGGATAGGAAGAGAGGGATGAGAGGGAAGGTCCCAAGAGAGTCCCCAACCAAGGAAACCCCATAAGCACAAAGATTCCCTCCCTATAGGAACCCCAACTTTGACATTTGTCCCTTCCCAACCAATCCATCCAAGTTGGCCACCCTTGCCAACCTAGCTTGGTTGTTCCCAACCAATTTGCAGCTGTTACAGTAGAGTGACAATTTCCCCAACCCCAAAGGTCCCAACTCCATATAAAGTCACCCCACAACTTCACTTTGTAACCGCCGCAATTGTAACGCAAGCTCATGAACTTTGAATCTTCATAGCTTTCGCGTTCTTGCTCCGATTGAAGCGATTCTTGTTGCGTCGGAAAGATCTTCTCAAGATCTATCATCACAAATACCTGCTCAGACAGAATAACACAAAACACATTCCCAAACTCCAGAACACACACCACACAAATTCTTTCACACACAGTCAAACCATACATGCGAAGTTGAAACAAGGGATGGGAGGCAGACAGAATGTGATAGCATATGATGACATCACACAACAATCTCCCCCTCTGGCTGCCAACCATCATCCACCATACCAACATCTCAAGCATGCATACTCAATGCACACTCATCCCAGCAAGCTTCATGCCCTTCCAATGATCCGCCTCCGCCAGACGCTTGGTGAAAATATCTGCTGCCTGCTGATGGGTCTTCACTATCTCCAGCCGCACCTCCTTATCAAGGAGTCTCCTCACCCAATGCCACTTAGGCCTTATGTGTTTTGTCAGCCCATGCAGACAAGCATTCTTGGCGAGCTTCACAGCGGACTCATTGTCACAAAACACAACTGTCGGCTTCTCCTGACCAACTCCCAACTCCTCCAACAAACGCCTTAGCCACACTACTTCCTTGGCCCCATGGTGTAAGGCCATGTACTCAGTCTCACATGAGGACAATCCCACCTCATTCTGCTTCTTGCTGCGCCAGCTCACAGCACCACCTCCTAGCAAGCACACATAACCCCCAATGCTGGTGCCATCCGCTTTCACTGAGTTGAAGCTAGCGTCAGTATAGCAACTCAAGAGCATCTCTCCACTCTTCACATCTGCAGCACCTCTCTGCAACCGCTGCCTCACTCCACTGTACTCCAATCCCACTGATGCCGTAGCACTCACATAGCGGACCAACCTCTTGGCCGCTTCCAGCTGCTCATGACTAGGGCGTGAGACCACACTAGCCAATCGTGATGTAGCAAATGCAATGTCAGGCCGTGTATGATTTGCAGCATAATTCAGCGACCCAACCATCGAATGAAACAGCTTCCTGTCACTCTCACCCACTACCTCCTCATCAGCACATGGCTCCACAGTAAACCCTGAAGGTAGTGGTGTTGCTGGCTTTCCCCCATCTTGCAGCCCATACTTCTCAGCCAGCCCCTCACAGTACTTCCTCTGGTGCAACCTCAGCACACCCTTCTCCACATCTCTCTCCACGTGCATCCCCAAGTAGTACTTCACCTCACCCATCTTGGAACACTTGAACTGCATCTCCAGCATCTGCTCTGCGCTGTCCAGCAAAGCAGTTGATGCAGAAAAGAGAAGGATATCATCCACATACACCAAGAGCATGAGGATTTCATCCTTCTCCTGCAGCAGGAACAGGCTGGGGTCACACTCACTCTTCTTGAAACCCCCAGCCAGCAGCGCCTCCTCCAACTTGTGATACCATGCACGAGGCGCCTGCTTAAGGCCATAGATGGCCTTCTTCAGCCTGCAGACCCTGCCGCTCCCATCATCCAGCCCCTCTGGCTGCTTCATGTACACCTCCTCCAGAATGATCCCATTCAGAAAGGCAGTCACAATGTCCATCTGCCGTATCTTCCATCCCAGGAGTGCAGCCATCGCCAATAGCACCCTCAATGTTGTTCCTTTCCCCACAGGAGCAAACACCTCATCATAGTCCTTCCCCTTTGTCTGCTGAAACCCCCGTGCCACAAGCCTAGACTTGTAGCGGGTCAGCTCCCCTTCAGGTCCATACTTGTGCCTGTAGATCATCTTGGAAGTGATTGCCTTCTTTCCAGGAGGCAAGTCACACAGGTCCCATGTCTCGTTCTCAATTAGGGACCCGAACTCCTCATCCTCACTCGCCTTCCACTTCTCCCCATTTGGTCCATTCAAGGCCTCCTCTCGAGTCTTGGGCTCAGGGATTGGTGCCCAGTAGCAGTGAGCGATCTCATCTTCCTCAATCTGCTCAACCACACTCCCAGCCTGCACCACATTTGGCTTGCCTCTTCCCCCATAGGTCAGCCTCACTGGAGGGCGCACATCCCTCCTAGGACGCTCAGGCGGGTGTGGAACTCGAGGTGGAGACTCATGTTGCTGCTGCTGCTCCACTTCAGCTGCTCCCCCTTCTTCAGTCACCCCAGACATCTCCTCCTCAGACACTGCAACCTCCACCTGCCTTGAAGGCTGCTGCAACTCATCTGCCTCCACAATGAGTGGTGTAGATGGAAGCTTCTGTTGCTGCTGCTTCCATTCCTTGTAGTACAGGGACTCAAGAAACTTCACATCCCTTGACACTGTCAGCTTCTGGGTGGTCAAGTCCCATAGCAGCCATCCCTTGTGATCCTTTGCAATCCCCAAGTGCACACCCCATCTTCCAGAAGCCTCCAACTTCCCTCTTTTCTCCTTAGGCACATGAAACACTACCATGCACCCAAATGCCCTCAGCATATTCACAGCTGGAGCACTCCCATACCACTTGACATATGGGATCCACTCCTTATCTCCAACTGTAGCCAGCACCCTGTTCTTCACAAGGGCGACCTGCCTCAGTGCAGACACCCAAAACGGATCAGGCAGCCCTGCACGCCCAAGGAGAGTGCGTGCCCCCTCCTGCAGGGTCCTGTTGAACCTCTCAGCCACGCCATTCTGCTGCGGGTTGTAGGGCACTGTCAGTTGATGTTGGATCCCCTTCCTCTTCAACTCCCCCTCAAAATCAGCTCCAATGAACTCCCCACCATTGTCACTACGGATCACCTTCACCTTGTGTCCGCATTCCCTCTGAGCTCTCGGCATCCACTCCTTAAGGACAGCCGCTGCCACCTCCCCCTTGCTGTTCAAAGGGTAAACCCACACTGCTCGAGTGTGGTCATCCACAATTGTCAAGAAATAGCCGCTGCCTGAGAGGGAAGGGGCTCTTGTGGGCCCCACCACATCCATGTGCACAAGTGCAAGTGGGGTCTTGGCTGGTCCTGTAGCACTGTTGAAGGGGAACTTGGAGAACTTGGTCTCCAAGCATGTAGGGCAGCTCCCAATCTCCTTCACTTCCCCTTTCACCTCCAAGCCCTTCAGGCTCCCATTCTTCACCAACTTCTGCAGCATAGGGAAGTTCACATGACACAACCTCTCATGCCATGTCTCCCAATCGGCCTCTCCACTCCTTGATGAAGCCTTAGCCCATGCCGCACTCGCATCCACACCAGCAAGCACCTCACCATGTGTCTGCTGCTTCTGCACTTTCTTGACTGCTTCCAGGACCCCATCAGTTGGTGCAGTTGCATCTCCTCCTGCTGTTGCCTTTGCCGCTGCTGCCGTTGCTGCTGTTGGAGTCTTCCCATTCCAAGGGATGATGGGCAGCTGCCACAGGTCCTTGATGCAGCTGGTCTCCTCTTCCAGACTCCACAGCACCTTCTTCCCAAGCTTAGCACGGCAGCTGGTTGGTCCAAAGGTCACTTCGGCCTTACTCTTCTGCAGTCGCCGCACAGAGAGAAGGTTAGCAGACAAGCCTTTAACCAGCAGAACATTCCCAAGCCCCACAAGCTCCCCATTAGCTCCCTTAACCTTGGCATTCCCAACGCCAATCACAGGGAGCAAAGCACCTGACGCTGCTGCCACATACTTGATCTTCCCAGGGGGTTTTACCTCATCAAGCAAATCTGCCCGTGGAGTCATGTGACTGGTGCAACCCGAATCAATCACCCAGTGTGTGAGAGGGTGCATCACAACCTTTCCCACAGATCCCACATCACCCTCATGCCCATGCACATCCTCAACCATGAGATACATCCCAGGATAGGCGTTACCTTGTGCACCTTCACCTTGTGCACCTGAGCCTTGCACAGCGCCACCTTGTGCGCGTTCACCACTTGGCGGCTTCATGCCTGGAGGTGCCCATCCCTCCGGCCTGCTGAAGCACTTGAACCAAGGATGCCCGACCTTCTTGCAGTACCAGCAGGTGCCCTCCATTCTGGTACTCCCCCTGCCACTGGAGCTCCCATGCCCCTCATTATAGTCACCTCGGCCTCTACCTCTGCCAAAGCTTCTCCCACGGCCTCGGCCTCTCCAACCCCCTCTTCCTCTGCCGCGCCCTGCAGCTCCATACCCCTCAGCAGTCTTAGTGGCAGCACCGCCTCCCACATGGCGTCTGCGGAAGTCCTCCTGCAGAATCTGGTGCCTTAGCCACTCAGGTGTCCATTGATCTTGCTGAGAGTTGAGGGTGGGGATGAGGTTGTCCCAAGAGTTGTCCAACACCGAGATGATCTTGGTGCACTGCTGCAGCTGAGATACACTGCTGCCCGCTGCTGCCATCCTTGCATAGGTGTCCTTGATCTTGTCAAGGACCGGCTTCACATCGTCCCCTGGTCGCATGGAGATGGCAGCAAGTTCCTTCTCGAGCACGATCACCATCGGGAGAGTGTTGGGCTGAATCACATCGCGTAGTAGTTTCCACGCCCTTGGACCCGAATCATCTGCTTCCACAAGATCCTTGATGTGTTCGAACATCTCCTTGTTGACCGATTGAAGGATGAGGTCGAAAAGCACCGCGCTTTTCTCAATCCACCGTTCACGTGCTTCGCCTTCTTCCGGCATCTTCTCTTCCCCAACAGCAATCTTCAGTAGCTTGTAGCGTTTGAAGGCACTCCTCATCCGTCCGCTCCATTCCTCATAGTTGGAGCCATCCAAAGCTTCAACTTTTGATGGCGGCGGCTCACTTGCCTTCTCAGGTACAGCTCCTCTTCCATTAGCATCTCCTCCTCTCTCATTCATCTTCTCCTTGAGAAATGACGAATTTCAGCTCCCCTTTGCTGTCCACACTCAGCTCCCTCGATATTTTCACAAGTATCGCCGTCCACGAAATTTCGGCAGAGTTTCCCCTTAGCGGAAGACACATCCAACCTTTAGAACACCACTTAGGCACACCCACAGGCCATGGTGGGTCTAGAAGGGTCTTCACACTTCTGTAGACTCCTCTCAATGTCCTTAATATGGCTCTGATACCACTTGTTAGGATTAAGGACAGAGTCTAGGTGAACTTAGGAGCTAGAATTACTCAAAATATAAATCCGAAATTCTGGACAGAAAAGTCGTCTTCACAAGAAACGACGTCGACAAAACACTAGCCGTTGGAATGTCGCGAAACTTGGATATGTTGTAGCTCTTGATCTCAGCTACCGTTCCCAATTTGAATCACGTTGATTGATGAAGTATTCGCGACGCTATGGCTTTCGACGCACTAGGGGGTAAGCTGTAGGAGGAGAACTTAACTCAATCTCAAGAGTTCAATCAAAGTTCAAGAATCTCACAAGGAATTAGAGGAGCAAGAGAAAGGTTGGGATAGAAGAGAGGGATGAGAGGGAAGGTCCCAAGAGAGTCCCCAACCAAGGAAACCCCATAAGCACAAAGATTCCCTCCCTATAGGAACCCCAACTTTGACATTTGTCCCTTCCCAACCAATCCATCCAAGTTGGCCACCCTTGCCAACCTAGCTTGGTTGTTCCCAACCAATTTGCAGCTGTTACAGTAGAGTGACGAATTTCCCCAACCCCAAAGGTCCCAACTCCATATAAAGTCACCCCACAACTTCACTTTGTAACCGCCGCAATTGTAACGCAAGCTCATGAACTTTGAATCTTCATAGCTTTCGCGTTCTTGCTCCGATTGACGCGATTCTTGTTGCGTCGGAAAGATCTTCTCAAGATCTATCATCACAAATACCTGCTCAGACAGAATAACACAAAACACATTCCCAAACTCCAGAACACACACCACACAAATTCTTTCACACACAGTCAAACCATACGTGCGAATTGAAACAAGGGATGGGAGGCAGACAGAATGTGATAACATATGATGACATCACACAACATACAGCTTGGTGGAAAAGTGCGACAAAGGTAGGAAGAGCATGTGCTTTTATGGGAAAATGCTCACGAAACTCGTACTTGGGGCAAAAGTTGAAACGCCGTCGCTCCCAAACCATTTGGATGTTGGACCCGAGGTTCAAGTGTTAGGATTAAGGACAGAGTCTAGGTGAACTTAGGAGCTAGAATTACTCAAAATATAAATCCGAAATTCTGGACAGAAAAGTCGTCTTCACAAGAAACGACGTCGACAAAACACTAGCCGTTGGAATGTCGCGAAACTTGGATATGTTGTAGCTCTTGATCTCAGCTACCGTTCCCAATTTGAATCACGTTGATTGATGAAGTATTCGCGACGCTATGGCTTTCGACGCACTAGGGGGTAAGCTGTAGGAGGAGAACTGAACTCAATCTCAAGAGTTCAATCAAAGTTCAAGAATCTCACAAGGAATTTGAGGAGCAAGAGAAAGGTTGGGATAGAAAGAGAGGGACGAGAGGGAAGGTCCCAAGAGAGTCCCCAACCAAGGAAACCCCATAAGCACAAAGATTCCCTCCCTATAGGAACCTCAACTTTGACCTTTGTCCCTTCCCAACCAATCCATCCAAGTTGGCCACCCTTGCCAACCTAGCTTGGTTGTTCCCAACCAATTTGCAGCTGTTACAGTAGAGTGACAAATTTCCCAAACCCCCAAAGGTCCCAACTCCATATAGAGTCACCCCACAACTTCACTTTGTAACCGCCGCAATTGTAACGCAAGCTCATGAACTTTGAATCTTCATAGCTTTCGCGTTCTTGCTCCGATTGAAGGGATTCTGCTGTGGGTTGTAGGGCACTGTCAGTTGATGCTGGATCCCCTTCCTCTTCAACTCCCCCTCAAAATCAGCTCCAATGAACTCCCCACCATTGTCACTACGGATCACCTTCACCTTGTGTCCGCATTCCCTCTGAGCTCTCGGCATCCACTCCTTAAGGACAGCCGCTGCCACCTCCCCCTTGCTCTTCAAAGGGTAAACCCACACTGCCCAAGTGTGGTCATCCACAATTGTCAAGAAATAGCGGCTGCCTGAGAGGGAAGGGGCTCTTGTGGGCCCCACCACATCCATGTGCACAAGTGCAAGTGGGGTCTTGGCTGGTCCTGTAGTGCTGTTGAAGGGGAACTTGGAGAACTTGGTCTCCAAGCATGTAGGGCAGCTCCCAATCTCCTTCACTCCCCCTTTCACCTCCAAGCCCTTCAGGCTCCCATCCTTCACCAACTTCTGCAGCATAGGGAAGTTCACATGACACAGCCTCTCATGCCATGTCTCCCAATCGGCCTCTCCACTCCTTGGTGAAGCCTTAGCCCATGCCGCACTCGCATCCACACCAGCAAGCACCTCACCATGTGTCTGCTGCTTCTGCACTTTCTTGACTGCTTCCAGGACCCCATCAGTTGGTGCAGTTGCATCTCCTCCTGCTGTTGCCTTTGCCGCTGCTGCCGTTGCTGCTGTTGGAGTCTTCCCATTCCAAGGGATGATGGGCAGCTGCCACAGGTCCTTGATGCAGCTGGTCTCCTCTTCCAGACTCCACAGCACCTTCTTCCCAAGCTTAGCACGGCAGCTGGTTGGTCCAAAGGTCACTTCGGCCTTACTCTTCTGCAGTCGCCGCACAGAGAGAAGGTTAGCAGACAAGCCTTTAACCAGCAGAACATTCCCAAGCCCCACAAGCTCCCCATTAGCTCCCTTAACCTTGGCATTCCCAACACCAATCACGGGGAGCAAAGCACCTGACGCTGCTGCCACATACTTAATCTTCCCAGGGGGTTTTACCTCATCAAGCAAATCTGCCCGTGGAGTCATGTGACTGGTGCAACCCGAATCAATCACCCAGTGCGTGAGAGGGTGCATCACAACCTTTCCCACAGATCCCACATCACCCTCATGCCCATGCACATCCTCAACCATAACAAACAAACCAGGATAGGCATTACCTTGTGCACCTTCACCTTGTGCACCTGAGCCTTGCACAGCGCCACCTTGTGCGCGTTCACCACTGGGCGGCTTCATGCCTGGAGGTGCCCATCCCTCCAGCCTGCTGAAGCACTTGAACCAAGGATGCCCAACCTTCTTGCAGTACCAGCACGTGCCCTCCATTCTGGTACTCCCCCTGCCACTAGAGCTCCCATGCCCCTCATTATAGTCACCTCGGCCTCTACCTCTGCCAAAGCTCCTCCCACGGCCTCGGCCTTTCCAACCCCCTCTTCCTCTGCTGCGCCCTGCAGCTCCATACCCCTCAGCAGTCTTAGTGGCAGCACCGCCTCCCACATGGCGTCTGCGGAAGTCCTCCTGCAGAATCTGCTGCCTTAGCCACTCAGGTGTCCATTGATCTTGCTGAGAGTTGAGGGTGGGGATGAGGTTGTCCCAAGAGTTGTCCAACACCGAGATGATCTTGGTGCACTGCTGCAGCTGAGATACACTGCTGCCCGCTGCTGCCATCCTTGCATAGGTGTCCTTGATCTTGTCAAGGACCGGCTTCACATCGTCCCCTGGTCGCATGGAGATGGCAGCAAGTTCCTTCTCGAGCACGATCACCATCGGGAGAGTGTTGGGCTGAACCACATCACGTAGTAGTTTCCACGCCCTTGGACCCGAATCATCCGCTTCCACAAGATCCTTGATGTGCTCGAACATCTCCTTGTTGACCGATTGAAGAATGAGGTCGAAAAGCACCGCGCTTTTCTCAATCCACCGTTCACGTGCTTCGCCTTCTTCCGGCATCTTCTCTTCCCCAACAGCAATCTTCAGGAGCTTGTAGCGTTTGAAGGCACTCCTCATCCGTCCGCTCCATTCCTCATAGTTGGAGCCATCCAAAGCTTCAACTTTTGATGGCGGCGGCTCACTTGTCTTCTCAGCTACAGCTCCTCTTCCATTAGCATCTCCTCCTCTCTCATTCATCTTCTCCTTGAGAAATGACGAATTTCAGCTCCCCTTTGCTGTCCACACTCAGCTCCCTCGATATTTTCACAAGTGTCGGCGTCCACGAAATTTCGGCAGAGTTTCCCCTTAGCGGAAGACACATCCAACCTTTAGAACACCACTTAGGCACACCCACAGGCCATGGTGGGTCTAGAAGGGTCTTCACACTTCTGTAGACTCCTCTCAATGTCCTTAATATCGCTCTGATACCACTTGTTAGGATTAAGGACAGAGTCTAGGTGAACTTAGGAGCTAGAATTACTCAAAATATAAATCCGAAATTCTGGACAGAAAAGTCGTCTTCACAAGAAACGACGTCGACAAAACACTAGCCGTTGGAATGTCGCGAAACTTGGATATGTTGTAGCTCTTGATCTCAGCTACCGTTCCCAATTTGAATCACGTTGATTGATGAAGTATTCGCGACGCTATGGCTTTCGACGCACTAGGGGGTAAGCTGTAGGAGGAGAACTTAACTCAATCTCAAGAGTTCAATCAAAGTTCAAGAATCTCACAAGGAATTTGAGGAGCAAGAGAAAGGTTGGGATAGAAAGAGAGGGACGAGAGGGAAGGTCCCAAGAGAGTCCCCAACCAAGGAAACCCCATAAGCACAAAGATTCCCTCCCTATAGGAACCTCAACTTTGACCTTTGTCCCTTCCCAACCAATCCATCCAAGTTGGCCACCCTTGCCAACCTAGCTTGGTTGTTCCCAACCACTTTGCAGCTGTTACAGTAGAGTGACAAATTTCCCAAACCCCCAAAGGTCCCAACTCCATATAGATGTTAGGATTAAGGACGGAGTCTAGGTGAACTTAGGAGCTAGAATTACTCAAAATATAAATCCGAAATTCTGGACAGAAAAGTCGTCTTCACAAGAAACGACGTCGACAAACAACTAGCCGTTGGAATGTCGCGAAACTTGGATATGTTGTAGCTCTTAATCTCAGCTACCGTTCCCAATTTGAATCATGTTGATTGATAAAGTATTCGCGACGCTATGGCTTTCGACGCACTAGGGGGTAAGCTGTAGGAGGAGAACTTAACTCAATCTCAAAGGTTCAATCAAAGTTCAAGAATCTCACAAGGAATTAGAAGGAGCAAGAGAAAGGTTGGGATAGGAAGAGAGGGATGAGAGGGAAGGTCCCAAGAGAGTCCCCAACCAAGGAAACCCCATAAGCACAAAGATTCCCTCCCTATAGGAACCCCAACTTTGACATTTGTCCCTTCCCAACCAATCCATCCAAGTTGGCCACCCTTGCCAACCTAGCTTGGTTGTTCCCAACCAATTTGCAGCTGTTACAGTGAGTGACAAATTTCCCAAACCCCAAAGGTCCCAACTCCATATAGAGTCACCCCACAACTTCACTTTGTAACCGCCGCAATTGTAACGCAAGCTCATGAACTTTGAATCTTCATAGCTTTCGCGTTCTTGCTCCGATTGAAGGGATTCTCGTTGCGTCGGAAAGATCTTCTCAAGATCTATCATCACAAAAACCTGCTCAAACAAAATAACACAAAACACATTCCCAAACTCCAGAACACATCACACACAAATTCTTGCACACGTTCAAACCACACATGCAAGTTGAAAAAATATGGGATGGGAGGCAGACAGAATGTGATAGCATATGATGACATCACACAACAATCTCCCCCTCTGGCTGCCAACCATCATCCACCATACCAACATCTCAAGCATGCATACTCAATGCACACTCATCCCAGCAAGCTTCATGCCCTTCCAATGATCCGCCTCCGCCAGACGCTTGGTGAAAATATCTGCTGCCTGCTGATGGGTCTTCACTATCTCCAGCCGCACCTCCTTATCAAGGAGTCTCCTCACCCAATGCCACTTAGGCCTTATGTGTTTTGTCAGCCCATGCAGACAAGCATTCTTGGCGAGCTTCACAGCGGACTCATTGTCACAAAACACAACTGTCGGCTTCTCCTGACCAACTCCCAACTCCTCCAACAAACGCCTTAGCCACACTACTTCCTTGGCCCCATGGTGTAAGGCCATGTACTCAGTCTCACATGAGGACAATCCCACCTCATTCTGCTTCTTGCTGCGCCAGCTCACAGCACCACCTCCTAGCAAGCACACATAACCCCCAATGCTGGTGCCATCCGCTTTCACTGAGTTGAAGCTAGCGTCAGTATAGCAACTCAAGAGCATCTCTCCACTCTTCACATCTGCAGCACCTCTCTGCAACCGCTGCCTCACTCCACTGTACTCCAATCCCACTGATGCCGTAGCGCTCACATAGCGGACCAACCTCTTGGCCGCTTCCAGCTGCTCATGACTAGGGCGTGAGACCACACTAGCCAATCGTGATGTAGCAAATGCAATGTCAGGCCGTGTATGATTTGCAGCATAATTCAGCGACCCAACCATCGAATGAAACAGCTTCCTGTCACTATCACCCACTACCTCCTCATCAGCACATGGCTCCACAGTAAACCCTGAAGGTAGTGGTGTTGCTGGCTTTCCCCCATCTTGCAGCCCATACTTCTCAGCCAGCCCCTCACAGTACTTCCTCTGGTGCAACCTCAGCACACCCTTTTCCACATCTCTCTCCACGTGCATCCCCAAGTAGTACTTCACCTCACCCATCTTGGAGCACTTGAACTGCATCTCCAGCATCTGCTCTGCGCTGTCCAGCAAAGCAGTTGATGCAGAAAAGAGAAGGATATCATCCACATACACCAAGAGCATGAGGATTTCATCCTTCTCCTGCAGCAGGAACAGGCTGGGGTCACACTCACTCTTCTTGAAACCCCCAGCCACCAGCGCCTCCTCCAACTTGTGATACCATGCACGAGGCGCCTGCTTAAGGCCATAGATTGCCTTCTTCAGCCTGCAGACCCTGCCGCTCCCATCATCCAGCCCCTCTGGCTGCTTCATGTACACCTCCTCCATAATGATCCCATTCAGAAAGGCAGTCACAATATCCATCTGCCGAATCTTCCATCCCAGGAGTGCAGCTATCGCCAACAGCACCCTCAGTGTTGTTCCTTTCCCCACAGGAGCAAACACCTCATCATAGTCCTTCCCCTTTGTCTGCTGAAACCCCCGTGCCACAAGCCTAGACTTGTAGCGGGTCAGCTCCCCTTCAGGTCCATACTTGTGCCTGTAGATCATCTTGGAAGTGATTGCCTTCTTTCCAGGAGGCAAGTCACACAGGTCCCATGTCTCGTTCTCAATTAGGGACCCGAACTCCTCATCCTCACTCGCCTTCCACTTCTCCCCATTTGGTCCATTCAAGGCCTCTTCTCGAGTCTTGGGCTCAGGGATTGGTGCCCAGTAGCAGTGAGCGATCTCATCTTCCTCAATCTGCTCAACCACACTCCCAGCCTGCACCACATTTGGCTTGCCTCTTCCCCCATAGGTCAGCCTCACAGGAGGGCGCACATCCCTCCTAGGTCGCTCAGGCGGGTGTGGAACTCGAGGTGGAGACTCATGCTGCTGCTGCTGCTGCTGCTCTACTTCAGCTGCTCCCCCTTCCTCAGTCACCCCAGACATCTCCTCCTCTGACACTGCAACCTCCACCTGTCTTGAAGGCTGCTGCACCTCATCTGCCTCCACAATGAGCGGTGTAGATGGAAGCTTCTGTTGCTGCTGCTTCCATTCCTTGTAGTACAGGGACTCAAGAAACTTCACATCCCTTGACACTGTCAACTTCTGGGTGGTCAAGTCCCATAGCAGCCACCCCTTGTGATCCTTTGCAATCCCCAAGTGCACACCCCATCTTCCAGAAGCCTCCAACTTCCCTCTTTTCTCCTTAGGCACATGAAACACTACCATGCACCCAAATGCCCTCAGCATATTCACAGCTGGAGCACTCCCATACCACTTGGTATATGGGATCCACTCCTTATCTCCAACTGTAGCCAGCACCCTATTCTTCACAAGGGCGACCTGCCTCAGTGCAGACACCCAAAACGGATCAGGCAGCCCTGCACGCCCAAGGAGAGTGCGTGCCCCCTCCTGCAGGGTCCTGTTGAACCTCTCAGCCACGCCATTCTGCTGCGGGTTGTAGGGCACTGTCAGTTGATGCTGGATCCCCTTCCTCTTCAACTCCCCCTCAAAATCAGCTCCAATGAACTCCCCACCATTGTCACTGCGGATCACCTTCACCTTGTGTCCGCATTCCCTCTGAGCTCTCGGCATCCACTCCTTAAGGACAGCCGCTGCCACCTCCCCCTTGCTCTTCAAAGGGTAAACCCACACTGCCCGAGTGTGGTCATCCACAATTGTCAAGAAATAGCGGCTGCCTGAGAGGGAAGGGGCTCTTGTGGGCCCCACCACATCCATGTGCACAAGTGCAAGTGGGGTCTTGGCTGGTCCTGTAGTGCTGTTGAAGGGGAACTTGGAGAACTTGGTCTCCAAGCATGTAGGGCAGCTCCCAATCTCCTTCACTCCCCCTTTCACCTCCAAGCCTTCAGGCTCCCATCCTTCACCAACTTCTGCAGCATAGGGAAGTTCACATGACACAGCCTCTCATGCCATGTCTCCCAATCGGCCTCTCCACTCCTTGATGAAGCCTTAGCCCATGCCGCACTCGCATCCACACCAGCAAGCACCTCACCATGTGTCTGCTGCTGCTGCACTTTCTTGACTGCTTCCAGGACCCCATCAGTTGGTGCAGTTGCATCTCCTCCTGCTGTTGCCTTTGCCGCTGCTGCCGTTGCTGCTGTTGGAGTCTTCCCATTCCATGGGATGATGGGCAGCTGCCACAGGTCCTTGATGCAGCTGGTCTCCTCTTCCAGACTCCACAGCACCTTCTTCCCAAGCTTAGCACGGCAGCTGGTTGGTCCAAAGGTCACTTCGGCCTTGCTCTTCTGCAGTCGTCGCACAGAGAGAAGGTTAGCAGACAAGCCTTTAACCAGCAGAACATTCCCAAGCCCCACAAGCTCCCCATTAGCTCCCTTAACCTTGGCATTCCCAACACCAATGACAGGGAGCAAAGCACCTGACGCTGCTGCCACATACTTGATCTTCCCAGGGGGTTTTACCTCATCAAGCAAATCTGCCCGTGGAGTCATGTGACTGGTGCAACCCGAATCAATCACCCAGTGCGTGAGAGGGTGCATCACAACCTTTCCCACAGATCCCACATCACCCTCATGCCCATGCACATCCTCAACCATGAGATACATCCCAGGATAGGCGTTACCTTGTGCACCTTCACCTTGTGCACCTGAGCCTTGCACAGCGCCACCTTGTGCGCGTTCACCACTTGGCGGCTTCATGCCTGGAGGTGACCATCCCTCCGGCCTGCTGAAGCACTTGAACCAAGGATGCCCGACCTTCTTGCAGTACCAGCAGGTGCCCTCCATTCTGGTACTCCCCCTGCCACTGGAGCTCCCATGCCCCTCATTATAGTCACCTCGGCCTCTACCTCTGCCAAAGCTTCTCCCACGGCCTCGGCCTCTCCAACCCCCTCTTCCTCTGCCGCGCCCTGCAGCTCCATACCCCTCAGCAGTCTTAGTGGCAGCACCGCCTCCCACATGGCGTCTGCGGAAGTCCTCCTGCAGAATCTGCTGCCTTAGCCACTCAGGTGTCCATTGATCTTGCTGAGAGTTGAGGGTGGGGATGAGGTTGTCCCAAGAGTTGTCCAACACCGAGATGATCTTGGTGCACTGCTGCAGCTGAGATACACTGCTGCCCGCTGCTGCCATCCTTGCATAGGTGTCCTTGATCTTGTCAAGGACCGGCTTCACATCGTCCCCTGGTCGCATGGAGATGGCAGCAAGTTCCTTCTCGAGCACGATCACCATCAGGAGAGTGTTGGGCTGAACCACATCACGTAGTAGTTTCCACGCCCTTGGACCCGAATCATCCGCTTCCACAAGATCCTTGATGTGCTCGAACATCTCCTTGTTGACCGATTGAAGAATGAGGTCGAAAAGCACCGCGCTTTTCTCAATCCACCGTTCACGTGCTTCGCCTTCTTCCGGCATCTTCTCTTCCCCAACAGCAATCTTCAGGAGCTTGTAGCGTTTGAAGGCACTCCTCATCCGTCCGCTCCATTCCTCATAGTTGGAGCCATCCAAAGCTTCAACTTTTGATGGCGGCGGCTCACTTGTCTTCTCAGCTACAGCTCCTCTTCCATTAGCATCTCCTCCTCTCTCATTCATCTTCTCCTTGAGAAATGACGAATTTCAGCCCCCCTTTGCTGTCCACACTCAGCTCCCTCGATATTTTCACAAGTGTCGGCGTCCACGAAATTTCGGCAGAGTTTCCCCTTAGCGGAAGACACATCCAACCTTTAGAACACCACTTAGGCACACCCACAGGCCATGGTGGGTCTAGAAGGGTCTTCACACTTCTGTAGACTCCTCTCAACGTCCTTAATACAGCTCTGATACCACTTGTTAGGATTAAGGACGGAGTCTAGGTGAACTTAGGAGCTAGAATTACTCAAAATATAAATCCGAAATTCTGGACAGAAAAGTCGTCTTCACAAGAAACGACGTCGACAAACAACTAGCCGTTGGAATGTCGCGAAACTTGGATATGTTGTAGCTCTTAATCTCAGCTACCGTTCCCAATTTGAATCATGTTGATTGATAAAGTATTCGCGACGCTATGGCTTTCGACGCACTAGGGGGTAAGCTGTAGGAGGAGAACTTAACTCAATCTCAAAGGTTCAATCAAAGTTCAAGAATCTCACAAGGAATTAGAAGGAGCAAGAGAAAGGTTGGGATAGGAAGAGAGGGATGAGAGGGAAGGTCCCAAGAGAGTCCCCAACCAAGGAAACCCCATAAGCACAAAGATTCCCTCCCTATAGGAACCCCAACTTTGACATTTGTCCCTTCCCAACCAATCCATCCAAGTTGGCCACCCTTGCCAACCTAGCTTGGTTGTTCCCAACCAATTTGCAGCTGTTACAGTGAGTGACAAATTTCCCAACCCCAAAGGTCCCAACTCCATATAGAGTCACCCCACAACTTCACTTTGTAACCGCCGCAATTGTAACGCAAGCTCATGAACTTTGAATCTTCATAGCTTTCGCGTTCTTGCTCCGATTGAAGGATTCTTGTTGCGTCGGAAAGATCTTCTCAAGATCTATCATCACAAAAACCTGCTCAAACAAAATAACACAAAACACATTCCCAAACTCCAGAACACACACACACAAATTCTTCACACGTCAAACCACACATGCAAGTTGAAAAAATGGGATGGGAGGCAGACAGAATGTGATAGCATATGATGACATCACACAACAAAAAAAAAAAAAAAAAAAAAAAAAAAAAAAAAAAAAAAAAAAAAAAAAAAAAAAAAAAAAAAAAAAAAAAAAAAATCAAAACACATGCAAGTTGAAAAAATATGGGATGGGAGGCAGACAGAATGTGATAGCATATGATGACATCACAACATCAAGCTGCATGCTCTAGAGACCATGCACTAATTAGCCATGCAAAAAAAAAATGGCATACAGCTTGGTGGAAAAGTGCGACAAAGTTAGGAAGAGCATGTGCTTTTATGGGAAAATGCTTACAAAACTCGTACTTGGGGCAAAAGTTGAAACGCCGTCGCTCCCAAACCATTTGGATCTTGGACCCGAGGTTCAAGCTGCATGCTCTACAGACCATGCACTAACTAGCCATGCAAAAACAAATGGCATACAGCTTGGTGGAAAAGTGCGACAAAGGTAGGAAGAGCATGTGCTTTTATGGGAAAATGCTCACGAAACTCGTACTTGGGGCAAAAGTTGAAACGCCGTCGCTCCCAAACCATTTGGATCTTGGACCCGAGGTTCAAGCTGCATGCTCTAGAGACCATGCACTAACTAGCCATGCAAAAAAAAATGGCATACAGCTTGGTGGAAAAGTGCGACAAAGGTAGGAAGAGCATGTGCTTTTATGGGAAAATGCTCACGAAACTCGTACTTGGGGCAAAAGTTGAAACGCCGTCGCTCCCAAACCATTTGGATCTGGACCCGAGGTTCAAGCTGCATGCTCTACAGACCATGCACTAACTAGCCATGCAAAAACAAATGGCATACAGCTTGGTGGAAAAGTGCGACAAAGGTAGGAAGAGCATGTGCTTTTATGGGAAAATGCTCACGAAACTCGTACTTGGGGCAAAAGTTGAAACGCCGTCGCTCCCAAACCATTTGGATCTTGGACCCGAGGTTCAAGCTGCATGCTCTAGAGACCATGCACTAATTAGCCATGCAAAAAAAAATGGCATACAGCTTGGTGGAAAAGTGCGACAAAGTTAGGAAGAGCATGTGCTTTTATGGGAAAATGCTTACAAAACTCGTACTTGGGGCAAAAGTTGAAACGCCGTCGCTCCCAAACCATTTGGATCTTGGACCCGAGGTTCAAGCTGCATGCTCTAGAGACCATGCACTAACTAGCCATGCAAAAACAAATGGCATACAGCTTGGTGGAAAAGTGCGACAAAGGTAGGAAGAGCATGTGCTTTTATGGGAAAATGCTCACGAAACTCGTACTTGGGGCAAAAGTTGAAACGCCGTCGCTCCCAAACCATTTGGATCTTGGACCCGAGGTTCAAGCTGCATGCTCTAGAGACCATGCACTAATTAGCCATGCAAAAAAAAATGGCATACAGCTTGGTGGAAAAGTGCGACAAAGTTAGGAAGAGCATGTGCTTTTATGGGAAAATGCTTACAAAACTCGTACTTGGGGCAAAAGTTGAAACGCCGTCGCTCCCAAACCATTTGGATCTTGGACCCGAGGTTCAAGCTGCATGCTCTACAGACCATGCACTAACTAGCCATGCAAAAACAAATGGCATACAGCTTGGTGGAAAAGTGCGACAAAGGTAGGAAGAGCATGTGCTTTTATGGGAAAATGCTCACGAAACTCGTACTTGGGGCAAAAGTTGAAACGCCGTCGCTCCCAAACCATTTGGATCTTGGACCCGAGGTTCAAGCTGCATGCTCTAGAGACCATGCACTAATTAGCCATGCAAAAAAAAATGGCATACAGCTTGGTGGAAAAGTGCGACAAAGGTAGGAAGAGCATGTGCTTTTATGGGAAAATGCTCACGAAACTCGTACTTGGGGCAAAAGTTGAAACGCCGTCGCTCCCAAACCATTTGGATCTTGGACCCGAGGTTCAAGCTGCATGCTCTAGAGACCATGCACTAATTAGCCATGCAAAAAAAAATGGCATACAGCTTGGTGGAAAAGTGCGACAAAGGTAGGAAGAGCATGTGCTTTTATGGGAAAATGCTCACGAAACTCGTACTTGGGGCAAAAGTTGAAACGCCGTCGCTCCCAAACCATTTGGATCTTGGACCCGAGGTTCAAGCTGCATGCTCTAGAGACCATGCACTAATTAGCCATGCAAAAAAAAATGGCATACAGCTTGGTGGAAAAGTGCGACAAAGGTAGGAAGAGCATGTGCTTTTATGGGAAAATGCTCACGAAACTCGTACTTGGGGCAAAAGTTGAAACGCCGTCGCTCCCAAACCATTTGGATCTTGGACCCGAGGTTCAAGCTGCATGCTCTAGAGACCATGCACTAACTAGCCATGCAAAAACAAATGGCATACAGCTTGGTGGAAAAGTGCGACAAAGGTAGGAAGAGCATGTGCTTTTATGGGAAAATGCTCACGAAACTCGTACTTGGGGCAAAAGTTGAAACGCCGTCGCTCCCAAACCATTTGGATCTTGGACCCGAGGTTCAAGCTGCATGCTCTAGAGACCATGCACTAATTAGCCATGCAAAAAAAAATGGCATACAGCTTGGTGGAAAAGTGCGACAAAGGTAGGAAGAGCATGTGCTTTTATGGGAAAATGCTCACGAAACTCGTACTTGGGGCAAAAGTTGAAACGCCGTCGCTCCCAAACCATTTGGATCTTGGACCCGAGGTTCAAGCTGCATGCTCTAGAGACCATGCACTAACTAGCCATGCAAAAAAAAATGGCATACAGCTTGGTGGAAAAGTGCGACAAAGGTAGGAAGAGCATGTGCTTTTATGGGAAAATGCTCACGAAACTCGTACTTGGGGCAAAAGTTGAAACGCCGTCGCTCCCAAACCATTTGGATCTTGGACCCGAGGTTCAAGCTGCATGCTCTAGAGACCATGCACTAATTAGCCATGCAAAAAAAATGGCATACAGCTTGGTGGAAAAGTGCGACAAAGGTAGGAAGAGCATGTGCTTTTATGGGAAAATGCTCACGAAACTCGTACTTGGGGCAAAAGTTGAAACGCCGTCGCTCCCAAACCATTTGGATCTTGGACCCGAGGTTCAAGCTGCATGCTCTAGAGACCATGCACTAATTAGCCATGCAAAAAAAAATGGCATACAGCTTGGTGGAAAAGTGCGACAAAGGTAGGAAGAGCATGTGCTTTTATGGGAAAATGCTCACGAAACTCGTACTTGGGGCAAAAGTTGAAACGCCGTCGCTCCCAAACCATTTGGATCTTGGACCCGAGGTTCAAGCTGCATGCTCTAGAGACCATGCACTAACTAGCCATGCAAAAAAAAATGGCATACAGCTTGGTGGAAAAGTGCGACAAAGGTAGGAAGAGCATGTGCTTTTATGGGAAAATGCTCACGAAACTCGTACTTGGGGCAAAAGTTGAAACGCCGTCGCTCCCAAACCATTTGGATCTTGGACCCGAGGTTCAAGCTGCATGCTCTAGAGACCATGCACTAACTAGCCATGCAAAAAAAAATGGCATACAGCTTGGTGGAAAAGTGCGACAAAGGTAGGAAGAGCATGTGCTTTTATGGGAAAATGCTCACGAAACTCGTACTTGGGGCAAAAGTTGAAACGCCGTCGCTCCCAAACCATTTGGATCTTGGACCCGAGGTTCAAGCTGCATGCTCTAGAGACCATGCACTAATTAGCCATGCAAAAAAAAATGGCATACAGCTTGGTGGAAAAGTGCGACAAAGGTAGGAAGAGCATGTGCTTTTATGGGAAAATGCTCACGAAACTCGTACTTGGGGCAAAAGTTGAAACGCCGTCGCTCCCAAACCATTTGGATCTTGGACCCGAGGTTCAAGCTGCATGCTCTAGAGACCATGCACTAACTAGCCATGCAAAAAAAAATGGCATACAGCTTGGTGGAAAAGTGCGACAAAGGTAGGAAGAGCATGTGCTTTTATGGGAAAATGCTCACGAAACTCGTACTTGGGGCAAAAGTTGAAACGCCGTCGCTCCCAAACCATTTGGATCTTGGACCCGAGGTTCAAGCTGCATGCTCTAGAGACCATGCACTAACTAGCCATGCAAAAAAAAATGGCATACAGCTTGGTGGAAAAGTGCGACAAAGGTAGGAAGAGCATGTGCTTTTATGGGAAAATGCTCACGAAACTCGTACTTGGGGCAAAAGTTGAAACGCCGTCGCTCCCAA